CTTCCCTCCTTCCTTCCTTCCTTCCTTCCTTCCTTCCTTCCTTCCTTTTTATTTCAGGTTTCACATGGAAAAGAAACCATGAAATATTTAACTTTGTGTCTGACTTATTTTGCTTAGTGTTATAATCTCAAGTTCCATCCACTTTCCTACCAAAGACATAATTTTATTCTTTATGGCCAAATAATATTCCACTGTGTGTATATGCCACATTTTCTTTTTCTAATTTATTTTGTGAGGGGCATCTAAGCTCCTTCCAGAGCACTGTGAATTGAGCTGCCTTGTGACTTGAGCTGGATTTGTAATGACAGGGCCTTGCTATGCATTCCAGGAGGGCCTTGAAGTTGCTATGTAGCTCCAGATCTTCCTATTTTAACTTCCTAAGTGCTGAAATTATAGGGCTGTGCTATTACATCTGACTTTTCTTTTTGATTTTAAGACAGGGTCTTGCTAAGTTGCCCAAGTTGGCCTCGAATTTGCTGTCTTCCTGCCTCAATTTCCCAAGTAGCTGGGATGGTAGTATAGAGATGTGCCACTGCACCAGGTCCACTTGTTGACTTTTTAAGAATAGGAGTATATATTATTTATCTCACACATTTGAGACTATTTGAGTGAGTCTTTTAACCTCTTCATTACCCTTAAAGAGAAAAATTGCTTTGTTGTTGATGTTTCATCATCTAAGATGTATATTAAATGCTACAGTGTAAGAAAATCATATTAGACAAGTATAGTAAAAGGGTAAGCCTGAAGTGATTTTTTTGCAAACCAAGGAGTCCTACTCATGGCTTTAATAGTGTTTTGAACATGAAGAGCATTATTGGCAAAAAGCCTTACGTGTAATAAAAAAATCTGTTGACAATGATTTACATAAGAAAGAGAAAAGGAATAAAGCTTCATAATTAAAATTTCCATTTTAAAATAATTTAATATTTTCCCAGATCTTATGTATAAGATTCAGAGATTTAAATTACATCAGTTTTAAAGCAAATTTAAATCCATAACATAAAGTTCAAAAGTAGTGTGGAGAACCCAGTGAGCTGCCTTCCTATATTACTATTCGTCACTACCAAAAATATCACTTAGAACGAAATTTTCCCTTGAGTTTCAGAATGACACAAATATTTTAAAATTTAAAATCTAGCATAAGACACAAGTAGAAAGAGTTTATGATGCATTTTTTCTTTAAATAAGTGGTAATAATTTGTCTTAACTCAATCATTCTTGATCCTTTTATTATAAACTGATAGTAAAAACAGTTTATTTCTCATTTTTCTATCCTAGCAAAAGAGAAAGAGCAATAATTTAAGGTACACAGTAAAATATTTTTGCTTAGAACATTAAATTTGTATATGTAGAGTTTTCTTTAAGGTGAGAGGTCTCTGGTTTGCCTAGTAATTTTTGTTCATGAAACTTAAAGCACTGCAGTGTTAGATCGCATTTTTTAAGATCATAAATATCTTTTCAGTAGTGACTGGAAGTGCCTGTGATAAGAACATAGTTAAATGTTTGCTGAAATTAAATAAGGATGAGTTTGGAATTAATTCTTTCTTGATGAGCTGAAAGAAGCTGTAGACTTCATTTGTTTTCATCTCCTCATTCTGCAGTAGAAGAAACTGAGACCCAAAGAGCTAAGGGAATTTTCTAGAAGTGGCAGAGCTCTTTCATAGTAGGTTAGAATTAATGGAAACCAATATTTATTGAGTATCTACTATGTGTTAGATGCATTATATGTATCACTGCATTTGATTCTTAA